GTTTGACAACCAGCCTCACTACACTCATTTCCAATCTTGTACATTTTGATCTCCTTACTTGCTTCTGAATCTGACGGTTGTCAGTTACAACTATAACGGCTACCATGTCAAACTCAAGCACTTGATAAGCTTGATGAGAAAAACTGCTCTCCAACAGACAAAAAAAAAACTCACCAAATTTTTTGGCCTTCATTAGCTTTTTTGTTTTGTTTTAGAACAGTTTATTTCTCATTGTAATTTACCAACTCAAATGAAATTTTAGGCTAATACTTGATAAGCCTTTCTAAACGTTTTCCACAGAACTCTGATGTTTGATCTCTAACAGGTTGGACATGTCGGCCGTCATGTTTGTCACATTGTGGGGCAGTAATGGTACCAGGAAGCTCCCGTAACCGGCATTTTTTCAGCTGACATTATCTGTCATTGTTTTAAAATCAATCTTTTGGTGTCGAATATTAGTCCATTACAGAAATATTGAATCACAAATGGTTTTATAAACTTGGTCCTTTGAAAAATCCAAAATTTGCCCAAATTATAACATGACGTTACTGTGTTATGCTTTGAGATTTCGGTCAATTTAATCTTCTTAATCCGAACAGAATGTGTTCATTGATAATTTCCCCCACCTCTGGGTGTTGTCAGCTTTCACTATGATTATATATACTTGTATATGTTGTGTATATCAAGTAAACTGGATAATTAGGAATAAATGTTGTGTATTGCGAAGGGAAAACATAAGAGAAGAGACATGGTGAAAGATGAGCAGAAATAACTAGGAAGCTAGGTAGGTATGTATGTAGGGAGGGAGATATTTATGTGTATATGATGACGCTTAACAAAGCTGAATAATAAAGAACAGATTCTGTAAATTGTCAGTACGATATTAGACGAGAGAGACAAGGTCAAATCTATAAGTAGAAAGAACGAGTGAGAGAGAACTTGAGAAGAAGGTAGAAAGTATAAGAGAGTAGGAGTGAAAGGAGAGGGGGAACAGATAGAGGGGAGAAAGGAGAGAGACTTCGTTTGTTACACGAACATCGCTCATGCTGTAATTTCCGCTCACACAAACAAGACTACTCGGGATTGGAGGTCTTGTTGTCAGCCTTGCCCTTCCCCCAGAGCTCAAACGAGTAGTTGTCAAAACCTGAAATGAAAAACGGTATTCAATTAGAGTAAAGAACCTAACTAAAGTGGGGGAGGGGGCACATAAATCCTCCTCATTATAGTGGTATGATATAGTTTGTGCATGATTATTGGATATGTTGACCTTAAAATCCGTTTCTGAATGACATCATACATAGAACTGAGGTCAACTCTAGACATTGAAAGTTACGAATGGCTCATTCTCACCAGCTTTTATGCCATCTTACTACATGAATAGGGATTGGTACCTCCCGGAAAAATGGTATTATTTTAGGTCAGTCTGTGTGTATTGGTTTCCACATTTTTGTGGTCAGAATAACTTAAGAAGGCCTTTAGAGATTGTGGTGATATTTAGTATGTGGGTAAGTTTAAGGAACAAAAAGGTCGAAGTCAAATATGGGCCTCTCGGTTTCAGATCATAGTAACGTTATATATACCACCAACTTCTGTACATCTTACCGATGCGATCCTCTGCCTGTTTGTTGACGTCACGGCCACGTCTCTTCCTCACCACGAAGACAGCAACAGCCAGCAGGAGGACGCCAGCTATCCCCGCAGCTGTCCCGACAGCGATGCCGACAGTGGGCAGGGTGGAGGCTGTGGGACATCACAGAGACATAATTAGGAATAGATTTGTAGTTCCAGAGAGTTCGTAAGGTAAGGAAAAGTAAACCGTCCTCAAACTTAAAGAGATTTTGATTTGACTTCCGATGAACTTTGACCCAGCAGTGACGTCACACGTCCGGGAAAATCACATGTCTGCAACGATTGAAGCAGATAGGTGGTGAAGACTGAGAGATTCTGTCGAAAATTCCTCTGAGTCAAATTCTTTTTTGAGTTGGAGAACAGTTTATTTTTCATTGCAGAGACATCGTGTTCATACTGTCTACTCCCTTGACGGTACACCAGTGTGCAGCATCTGTACATGCAGAACCGTAGGTCCGTCCGAACAGGTATGAACAAAAACTTGCAAATGTACAGATCACCACATTAACAACCAAATACGGTAAACACAAGAAAAGGTTATGGCTTCAAGCATCATTTTCACCAAGATGGAAAAGACGATACGAGGGAAACGTTTGGAATAGCTTTACTCCTGGGATGACGTATGGACAAGGGTGAACAAGTGTTAAAGAACATCCTATTTGTTGACAGCCACGAGAGTTAACTATTTTGGTACCTTATTAATCTGCAAACTCTACCTTGTTTTTGTCCACTCTTAACTTGGAAGGGTCCCTGTATGATGTGGGCTGTTTGGTCCCCTTCGCTCGCACGTCGCACTCGGGCCTCGCTCATGTCAGACACAGCGCGCCTGCGCCGCCTAGCGGGGATGCAGCCCTGACTGCACCGCGAGTCTGGGTCGTCCTTGAAGCAGACCACCATGGTGCAGTGGATGTACACCTGACATGTACGAGGAACAACATCTACATGAATCTGGTGCATCGACATGCTGTTCAAGGTACCCAAATACCAGGGAGTAGTCAAGAATGATTCAGGTAGGTACAAAAGACCCTTCCGGAGAGCACCGAAGTAGAGACAGTGTGCACAGAGATTTGATTTATTAGACTGTATAAAATTATATACAGTCAGGAATGATTAACTAGCCTGGTAACTGGACAATATACAATAAGACCAGTTCAGTGCTCATTTTAAATGCGTTGACAAAGGCAGCTTTTACGACGCGCATCAAATCTTTGACTCTAAGCTTTTATACAGAGGAGGCTGATGCTGGATCAATGCGTATTCACAACCCTTTCAGAGAGAAACAAGTTTTCTTGCTTGAATCCTTAGACGAAAGTGGAAGGACTAAGTGTTAAAGAGTAAGGGGTTGCCAGAACCAACCGGATCTCAAAATAGGACATTCTGGAGAGAGATGGCGGTAGTCACCGTGTGCCAGAACCTGATGCACATGGATTATTGACTGACTGACTGATAGACTGACTGACTGACTGACTGATTGACTGATTGACTGACTGACTGACTGACTGACTGATTGACTGACTGACTGACTGACTGACTGATTGACTGACTGATTGACTGACTGACTGACTGATTGACTGACTGACTGACTGGTTGACTGACTGATTGATTGACTGACTGACTGACTGACTGACTGACTGACTGACTGATTGACTGACTGACTGATTGACTGACTGACTGACTGACTGACTGATTGACTGACTGACTGACTGACTGACTGATTGACTGACTGATTGACTGACTGACTGACTGATTGACTGACTGACTGACTGGTTGACTGACTGATTGATTGACTGACTGACTGACTGACTGATTGACTGACTGATTGACTGACTGACTGACTGATTGACTGACTGACTGATTGACTGACTGACTGACTGACTGATTGACTGACTGACTGATGACTGATTGATTGACTGACTGATAGACTGACTGACTGACTGATAGACTGACTGACTGATTGACTGATAGACTGACTGTATGACTGACTGATTGATTGACTGACTGATTGACTGACTGACTGACTGATTGACTGACTGATTGACTGACTGACTGACTGACTGATTGACTGACTGACTGACTGACTGATTGACTGATTGACTGATTGACTGACTGACTGACTGACTGACTGACTGATTGACTGACTGACTGACTGACTGACTGGTTGGTTGTTTGGTTGGTTGATTTATTTATTGATTGATTGATATAAAGCAGATTTAAACCTTATGACAAGCGCGAGACCAACAGAAAATGAAATGCGCAGCGCACTGTGGAAAATGTTACATCTATGAGACCATCACCTTAAAGCATGGAAATCAACTTAAAACTGACAGTTACGTAACACAGCCCAGCACCAGACCATAGTTTTTATGTCTCTGTTTATTTTACCAGGCTGGGATCTTCAACGTTGGGGAAGGTGAATGATTGGATGGAGTAGTACAAGGCCATGTCGTTAGACAGCTCAGTGTTTAACTGAAGCGTTGTGTCGATGTCGCACCTAAAGCAGAGAAATGACTGTGGTTGGCTCAGATGATGATTCCCTGAACAATTCTATGTATACAGCAGCAGATTCGTAACTGGTTTCTAAGTTATCCAGTGCAATTTCATAATGGGAAATTGGATTTTGAATTTAAATTTTCTGACGGTTGCTTATTTCGTATCGTAGGCTGGTTCTATCTATTAATGGGTGTTACAAAAAAATAAAGAGACGCCACATGGAACTTATTTTGGAGCTATTTCAAACGCCTCAAGTATGTCGAAATTGAGTGATGACGAAATTTTGCTAAGACATTTCAGTAACTGTCAATATCAGACATACCACTTGCCTTTAACCGAGAAGAACGTCTATTAGGTCAAAATCTTTGGCCCCTACTTGTAACACGTCGGTATTTTTTTATGTTAAGAAGTGATGTGAAGGAACTTACCCATCTTGAATGATGCCTACACTTGGAGAGTCGTCAGGGTCGGTACTCGGCGTGGCGAGGCAGTGGAGGGCGAGCAGCTCCAGGTTGTCCAGAGGTGAGTTCACGCTCAGTCCGAAATTCAGCTGGTCAGACGGGGTCACCTAAGCACAGGGGAATCAAGAACAAGAATGATAAAGAGGAACAAGGAAAGCGAAGCATGTGGTTATTGTGTTACAGCATACAATTATGTATCTTAAGCCCCTGTCACACATAGCCGGAAATGGCCTTCCGAACACTGCTGAATTCCCCCACCCCGACCATGAAGTAGCTGTGGTTGTCTGGTAGATTGGCTATCGTTTGCTTGCGTCAGTCGAATGTATCAAACAATGTTTAAACCATTCTAATATGGACCGGGGGTGGTCATGTCATGGTTAGCTGGTGTTCGGGAATAGGTCAGAAGTGTTAGGGACCTGTTCGAGGATCAAATTCGACGCAAATTTGACTCAAATTTGATTCAATTCGTATGAAAAAGGTAGACGTGCCTTAAATCTGGTCAGATTTAGACTGCTCCCGAACTCCAGGCAACCTTGGTTGGTTGTTGGTTTATGAAGGTTCGGTATGTGTAATGTTAGGGCTTTATGAAACTGAAACAAACTTTGTCCCTGTTCAGCTGTCTTCTGAACTAGTTGAAGCACCCAGTCTAGATACAATGGAGCAAGGTTTGCACACATTAAATGAATTTATATCGAAAGACATTAGCCTTTAAAAAACGAAGCTTCAAAGGCTCACCTGTACTGGGTAGTCGGCTGACCTGTAGGTATCAGCAAAGTCTGCAGATGGAGACATGTGCATCTCGAAGGTGAACTGGTTTTCCGCGTTCACAACTTCCACACTGTACGGATAGACAACCATGGGGGCAATTAGCTAGTGGCAAACTGTTTATTCTATGCTAGTCATACATGTGAATGTAGTCAGGATCCCAGGAGCTAGGAGATTCAATCCATGATTTTGTACTCGTAGAAAATTTGTGCACTACTGTATTTTGGATCATCTGTTAATTAGCGATGTATTGAGTTTGTTTTGAGCGGAGTTTCCTTAGCTCATACTGTGATTGTGCGCAGTTGCGCATGCAGTCACATGTCTAGATCTAACAACACTTACCGAGGAGACGGAATGTTGAAGAGGATGTTCCTTTCCTGTGAGACAACAAACTGACTGACGAACTCACACTGGAACCTCGTCCTGAAGGTTGCTCCTCTCACAGCACCGTTACCGTGCACTACCGGACTGCCGATCGCCTCGTTACTGAAGATGATTTTGCCTTCTGACGACTATGAAAACACGGAGAGATGCACAGAATGTTACCAAAACAGACATTTCAGATACATGCGCAACCTTGGCACAGTAACAATCCCACTAGTTGTTTTTCCTGTGACCGTTTTTTACACTCCAGACGTCTACGGTGGCGTCGCGTGGCGTAGTGGTAGATCATTTGATTGTGAACCGGGAGACCCGGGTTCGATCCCGAGTCGTACCCGGGACATGTCTGGACATGCGCCCCGACGTTGTGTCCTTTTGGAAAGGTACTTTACACGACTTCCCTCACTCCACCCAGGTGTGAATGGGCACCTAACTTTGGTTGGGGAAAGCCTTATTGAGGACACCTTGTGGCGCCGAATGGCAGCCGCACAGACCCTTGCGACAGTTCCAAAAAAATGTGGAACAAATATGTGTATCATGTGTATTATGTGTATTATTATGTGTATTATTACCATTTGTATCATCTGGTTGTAAACCCTGCATCAATTCAGCACTATAAGGTTGCGATTACACGGGTGATGTTTGGCCAATAAACCATTTATTAAATACTTACCTCCTGGATCGTCCCGCACTCCTGCAGACCGGTCCGAAGAGTCACCTCGGTCACGTTATGCGTCGCCCGGCAGCTGTCGTTCAGTAGGTGCATGGTGTCCACATTGACCTCTGTTAGCGCTGCTCTAGGGAAGGTCACGCTCATGTGGTCCTGATGGCAGTCCACGTTCACGATAACTTCACCTGAAAAAAAAGGATCCATTCATCTCATTGAGCATATAATACACATAACTTCATCATTGCACATGACTATGCTACTACTTAATGAACATTTCTCACATTTATACCAGAAACATAGAGCAGCGCTCGAAATACCACCTGCATACATGTAAACAGATTAGCGAAGGTAGAATTGGAGCCGTGCAGGTATTTCTGATGTCTACCTGCACCGGTCCACGTACAAATGTAGGTGTATGTGTTGATTTTTATTAGCTGTATTGACTGCCACCAGCTTTGAAGTGTTAAAAGAACGACGATGGTTTCTGAATAGTTTTAGTTTGAGGTATACTTCCTATATTCTAAATGATCCAGGCAATTTCCTATGTGGGAATGCAGAAAAAAATCATTTCTATCCCTACGGTGAGATATGTTCTCTTCTGCATTTCATATTATTAGGATGAAGGAAGCTTTAGACTTTTTTTTTCAAACATTTCATGACTAAACATAGTGACAGCACACTCAAGTTATATCAACTTATTTTATGCCACCACCAACACAGAGAATAAGTACAGGACAGGACAATACTCATTTTCACTTGAGTTAAGTGAGGAAAGTCGTGTTAAGTGCTTTTCCCAAGGGCACAAGATCGATGGCATGTCAGGACTCGAACCCGGGACCTCGTGGTTCCGAGTCGAGCACTCTGCCGCAACGCCACACGACTCTACAGACTCTTTTCCACCCATGCACAGACCTACCTGTTGTCTCTGTGCCGCCGATCTCTCCTATTTCCTCGTCGTTCTCTCCAAACGCAGTCAGGGAGAAGAAGTACTCCGTATCCGCCCACAGTCCCCGTACGGTGGCCTGGGTGTCGCCCGGTGCTGGCGGGGGAGACAGGTCCTGGTACGAAGCCCCGGCATGGCGGTAACGGAGTCGGTATCGTGTGACGTTAGCAGATGCTGTCCAGGACAGGGTCATCCGGTCCATCTCGATATCGTGGAAGGTCAAGTCAGACACAGCTGTAAAGGTAGTTACAATTTATATGCTTTTTAGTCACTATATTTGCTCTCCACATGTCACGCTAAAGTTAGACCACTGGCTCCAGTTAGATCAGCAACCGGCAGCTACATGGAAAACAGATCTTGAGGTAGTCTGGACCAAACTACAGATGACCTTTTGCAAGAAGATACTGACTGTGTATCCCCAAGAACCTAATCAGAGACAACCAAGAGAGGTCCTCACGATTTCTATAGATAACAAGCAGGATTAATCATGACAAAATGATGCAAATAAAAATGCTAATGCAGGTGTAAGTGAGCCTTGTTTCGCCCATTTCTATCTAATTATACGCTGCTCAAGGAGAATACTTCAGAAATGCAGGTACAACAATAAATCATTATAGAACTTCAAGTTACCTGAACAGAGCACCCCCGTGTCACAGTCTTGTGTGTCCTGACCCAGTCCATCACAGTCCGCCCCACCGTTAGCTGGTGCCGGATTGGTGCAGGTTCGGTCCCGAGTCTCCGTCCCGACTCCACACGTCACGCTACAGCCAGACCACGGGCTCCAGTCGGTCCAACCGCCATCAACTATGTCATGGAAAACAGATTTTAGAGAGTCTGGCCCAAACTTTGTACGAATACATCTTTTTAAAGGGTACTTTATATTTGAATCATTGATTAAAGGAGCATTAAGCAGATGGTGCAAGATTGCTATATCGTAGTATTATTCTAAATCGCTAAAGAGGTTTACTTGAAAATCTATTATTATAATGAGTTGATATAAATGAAGACTTTGATATTATTGCATCTCATTTTTAATGCGAATATCTTACAGATACAGGCACTACTTACCCGGACAGAGCACGCCCGTGTCACAGTCTTGTGTGTCCTGATCCAGTCCATCACAGTCCGCCCCACCGTTAGCTGGTGCCGGATTGGTGCAGGTTCGGCCCCGAGTCTCCGTCCCGACTCCACACGTCACGCTACAGCCAGACCACGGGCTCCAGTCGGACCAACCGCCATCGACTGTGTCATGGACAACAGATTTTAGAGAGTCTGGCCCAAACTTTGTACAAATACATCTCTTCAAAGGATTTTAAGCATAGTTTAGATTTGTATCTTGGATTCAAGGAGGATTAAGCAGATGGTTCAAGATTGCTATATCGTAGTATTGTTTTTAATAGGATAAAGAGGTTTACTTGAAAACCTATTAAAGCAATAAGGTGATGTAAATGGAGATTTTGATTTGATAGTATTGCTTCCCTTTTTCTTTAATTGAATGTGAATATCTTACAGATATAGACACGACTTACCCGGACAGAGCACACCCGTGTCACAGTTTTGTGTCTCCTGATCCAGTCCATCACAGTCCGCCCCACCGTTAGCTGGTGCCGGATTGGTGCAGGTTCGGTCCCGAGTCTCCGTCCCGACTCCACATGTCACGCTACAGCCAGACCACGGGCTCCAGTCGGTCCAACCGCCATCGACTGTATCATGGACAACAGATTTGACATAGTCTCGACCAAAACCTTTACAGATGCATTTTTTTTAAAAGACTGTAAGGACTGTTCAGATTTGTACTGTTGACTCAAACCAGATCAAACGGATAAATGTCGATTACTATATTTATGACTCTTTTATCCTTAGGTTACATTTCCAAACCGGAGCCCGGCCGGGCTGTTTGCATGAACGAAAAATTACTAGTAACAATTCATGTCAAGAAAATACATATAGTGCCCATGATTATTATTTAAAAAATTATTGTGTTTTGTTGTCTTTTACATATGATTGTATATCACACTTTTTTGAATGCATCTTTTCAAAAGGACTACTATAAAACAGTTTAGATTTGTATTATTGACTAAAACCGGATTAAATGGATGGCTAAAGATTACTATATCATAGTATCGTTACCCAGGATGAGAAGGTTTACTTGAAAATCTAGTAAAATAGTTAGTGGGTCTTAAAAAAATAGATATTTGGAGTGAATGGGATTGTTTTTATCTCCAATTTCAAGACGAATGACTTACAGATGATGACACAACTTACCCGGACAGAGCACACCCGTGTCACAGGTTTGTGTGTCCTGATCCAGTCCATCACAGTCCGCCCCACCGTTAGCTGGTGCCGGATTGGTGCAGGTTCGGCCCCGAGTCTCCGTCCCGACTCCACACGTCACGCTACAGGCAGACCACGGGCTCCAGTCGGACCAACCGCCATCGACTATGTCATGGACAACAGATTTGACATAGTCTCGACCAAAACCTTTACAGATGCATCTTTTTTAAAAGACTGTAAGATTGAAGTGCGATGATCCGCAGTGCAAGGACACATATATCGGTGAAACGAGTCAACCGTTAAAGGAGAGATACAAGCAACACTGTAGGGCTAGTTCTAGTGGGTTTTCTTCAGCGATATATCACCACCTCAACATTCATCATGGACTTTCCTTTCAGATAGATAACACTTGACATTTTAGATCGTGAATCTAGGTGGTTTGAACGGGGGGTAAGAGAGTCTATCTATGAACATATTTTTCGGCCATCTTTAAATAGAAAGGGGGGGGTTAAGATTTGATCTGTCAAGCTCTTGGGACTGCGCTCTGTAACGTAAAATTCTTATCCAGATATAATTTTTGATCATTATTTTTCTTACTTTAGTTTTTTATTAGTTATTTGTCTTCTCATTTTTGTTTATATTTTGGTATTTACCTTTTGTTTATTTAGTTTACCTTAGATTGTTTCTTAGAACGTGTCAGTTACCTTTTGTTTTTTTTAGAACTTACTTTAGAACATGGATTGTTTTTGTTTATTTAGAACTTAATTCTTGTACCGGAAATGTCCTCACTTTGTACTGATGAAAGCTAGTGGATACTAGCTGAAACGTCTACACATTAAAATTTCAATAATCCAGTGTGAAAAGACTAAACAACTTTATCTATTGACTGTAAGGACTGTTCAGATTTGTACTGTTGACTCAAACCAGATCAAACGGATAAATGTCGATTACTATATTTATGACTCTTTTATCCTTAGGTTACATTTCCAAACCGGAGCCCGGCCGGGCTGTTTGCATGAACGAAAAATTGGCAATTCATGTGAAGAATATACAGAAATAGTGCCCATGATTATTATTGAAAAAATATTGTGTTTTGTTGTCTTTTACATATAATTGTATATCGTACTTTTTAAATGCATCTTTTCAAAAGAACTATTATAAGACAGTTTAGATGTGTAATTTTTTACTGAAACCAGATTAAATGGATGGCTAAAGATTACTATATCATAGTATCGTTACCCAGGATGAGGAGGTTTACTTAAAAATCTAGTAAAATAGTTGGTGGATTTTGAATAGATATTAGGATTGAGTGGGATTTTTTTTTTTTTTTTTTTTCAATTTCAGGACGAATGACTTAAAGATGATGACACAACATACCCGGACAAAGCACTCCCGTGTCACAGGTTTGTGTGTCCTGATCCAGTCCATCACAGTCCGCCCCACCGTTAGCTGGTGCCGGATTGGTGCAGGTTCGGTCCCGAGTCTCCGTCCCGACTCCACACGTCACGCTACAGCCAGACCACGGGCTCCAGTCGGACCAACCGCCATCCACTGTGTCATGGAAAACAGATTTCACAGAGTCTGGCCCAAAATTTGTACAAATACATCTTTTTATAGGACTTTAAGGATAGTTTAGATTTGTATAATAGATTAAAGGAGCATTAAGCAGATGGTTCAAGCTTGGATAAATCGTAGTATTATTATTAATAGGATAAAGAGGTTTAAATTACTTGAAAATCTATTAAAGCAATAAGTTGATTTAAAAAAGATTTTGATTTGATAGTAATGCTTCCCTTTTTTTTCAAATTTAATGTAAATGTCATACAGACACAGGCACAACTTACCTGGACAAAGCACACCCGTGTCACAGTCTTTTGTGCCCTGATCCAGTCCATCACAGTCCGCCCCACCGTTAGCTGGTGCCGGATTGGTGCAGGTTCGGTCCCGAGTCTCCGTCCCAACTCCACACGTCACGCTACAGGCAGACCACGGGCTCCAGTCGGTCCATCCGCCATCAACTGTGTCATGGAAAACAGAATTGAGAGACTCTCGACCAAACCTTTTACAGATGCATCGTTTTTAAAAGACTGTATGGACTGTTCAGATTTGTACTGTTGACTAAATCCGGATTAAACGGATGACTGGCGATTACTATATTTATGATCGTAGAACTCGTTTATGCTTAGGTCACATTTCCAAACAGGGGCCCGGCCAGGCTGTTTGCATGAACGAAAAATTAACAATTCATGTCAAGAATATACAGAAATAGTGCCCATGATTATTATTTAAAAATTATTGTATCTTGTTGTCTTTTATATCGTTTTTTTACATGCATATTTTCAAAAGGACTACTATAAAACAGTTTAGATTTGTATTATTGACTAAAACCGGATTAAAGGGATGGCTAAAGATTTCGATATCATAGTATCGTTACCCAGGATGAGGAGGTTTACTTAAAAATCTAGTAAAATAGCTTGTGGATTTTAAATAGATATTTGGATTGAGTGGGATTGTTTTTTTCTCCAATTTCAGAACGAATGACTTACAGATGTAGCCACGACTTACCCGGACAGAGCACACCCGTGTCACAGTCTTGTGTGTCCTGATCCAGTCCATCACAGTCCGCCCCACCGTTAGCTGGTGCCGGATTGGTGCAGGTTCGGTCCCGAGTCTCCGTCCCGACTCCACACGTCACGCTACAGGCAGACCACGGGCTCCAGTCGGACCAACCGCCATCGACTAGATGGACAATAGATTTTTAGAGAGTCTGGCCCAAACATTGTACGAATACATCTTTTCAAAGGACTTTAAGGATAGTTAAGATTTCTATAATTGATTAAAGGAGGATTAAGCAGATAGTTCAATATTTCTATTTCGTAGTATTGTTTTAAATAGGATAAAGAGGTTTACTTGAAAACCTTTTAAAGCAATAACTTGATGTAAATAAAGAGTTTGATTTGGTAGTATTGCTCTTTTTTTTAATTAAAATTAAATGTGAATATCTTACAGATACAGACACGACTTACCTGGACAGAGCACCTCCGTGTCACAGTCTTGAGTGTCCTGATCCAGTCCATCACAGTCCGCCCCACCGTTAGCTGGTGGCGGATTGGTGCAGGTTCGGTCCCGAGTCTCCGTCCCGACTCCACACGTCACGCTACAGCCAGACCACGGGCTCCAGTCTGACCAACCGCCGTCAACTGTGTCATGGAAAACAGATTTTAGAAAGTCTGGCCCAAACTTTGTACAAATACATCTTTTCAAAGGACTTTAAGGATAGTTTATATTTGTATCATTGATTAAAGGAGTATTAAGCAGATGATTTAAGATTGCTTTATCGTAGTATTGTTTTAAATAGGACAAAGAGGTTTACTTAAAAACCTATTGAAGCAATAAGTTGATGTAAATGAAGAGTTTGATTTGATATTATTGCTTCTTTTTTTTAATTGAATGTGAATATCTTACAGATACAGGCACGACTTACCCGGACAGAGCACCTCCGTGTCACAGTCTTGAGTGTCCTGATCCAGTCCATCACAGTCCGCCCCACCGTTAGCTGGTGCCGGATTGGTGCAGGTTCGGCCCCGAGTCTCCGTCCCGACTCCACACGTCACGCTACAGCCAGACCACGGGCTCCAGTCTGACCAACCGCCATCAACCACAGGTCCTACATTGAGAACAGATTTTTGAGAGTCTGGACCAATCTACCTTTTCGAAAGGACTACATGTACTATGATTGTTCCAATTTGTATTATTAAGGACTAAAACCGAGCCGGATTGAATGGATCACGACTGCCATGTTTATAATCGCAGTATTCTGTTTTAGCAACATGGAGAGGTTTAATCCCGTCACACCTTCACGACCTTCCCCGGTATCTGTTTCCGACTAACTATAGCCGACCAGGTACGACTGATGTAGTAGTCTGACCAGGTTTAGGCCACGCGTCGCCTACGTTTCTTCACGAATTTAAACGAATGGTTGGTTGTGTTCTGCTGACTTATGGCCGAATAGCAGCCAACAATATTAGAATCTACTGACACTACCAGGTGCATGAATGTGAAAATTATGTGAATTTCGTGCAAAATTTTAATGAAATGTGAAAAAATGTGATGTAATGTGAATCCCATTAGAAATATGTGAAACCCAAAATGTGATTTTTTTTCAAAATGTGAATCGTCAAATGTTATTTTATGTGAAACAATGTAACTGTTTGAAAAATGTGAATCGATTATGTGAAATCACACAACCCGAAAACATGGCCAAAAAAAATGTGAATTCAAAATGTGAGAAGATGTGAAGAAATGTGAAGCGGTTTTACCCCGCAAACTGAAAGGAGTCAAATGTGAAATTATGTGAAGTTCAAATCACATTTTTTCACATAAGAGGTCAGAATGTTATTTTATGTGAAAATGTTTCACATAATTTCACATTTGCCTATATCCTAGATGATTATGTGATTTTATGTGAAAATTTTTGTAACAGGTAACAAACTTATTTACGACCGTTTCTAGGTTTCCGAGATTCCTCCTCAAATAGGTGTTAAAATGCAAACACATCGGGGTGAGACAAACTTGTGGGGCTTCTCGCGCCTCCGCTTTAGGGTCTTCGCCTCAGGTGTGAAGTTCCAACTTCACGTTGAGGTGCCAATTACACCCGATTTGCATAATGAGCGATGGCTTCTGACATTTGTTCTTGGTCAGGGAACTATGGTGAAGATAGTATAAATACGTGCGGAAAAGCGTAACCAAAGAGTTTTAACTAAGAACATTAACAAAGGGTTTTGACAATAACCTGCGCCCAGAACGCAAACCAATTAGAGCGCCCGACAGGGATTTCCAGCTATTATGCGTCTCTCGCGTCAAAGCTAACATGGCTTGTGTCTAAGCCCATTCGATTACACTGTGAAAAGAGGGCTGTTACACTGCAGACGTTTTGAGTGCGTGTGCTAGGAAACGTTCTGTCAGGTGAAGGGCAGTATTGTATTTGGACTTTATTTTCAAACACTATAGTACGCCTGTAGCCTATTTTATCCTCTTAGCATCCTGTATGTCCTTGAATGTTACAAAAATGATTTTCTGCTACCAACTGTACATTTTTCACATATTTTCACATACCCGAAGTTCACTACGGTCCGTGTCTATATGCACGGTGCTGTGTGTACTGAGTTCCTGAACATTTAGAAGTCATAGAATATGTTCAACTCGAGACAGATAAAACATTTTTCAAACGGAGAAAGACCATAATACTGGGTAACTGTGGACTATTTTAGTTTTCCTTTAGATTAAACGATTCTTTCGTTATCAGCCTGGAACCCATAACTTCTCAGTCAACAACCTACCCGAAGTTTACTACGGTCCGTGTCTATATGTACGGTGCTGTATGTACTGAGTTCCTGGACATTTAGAAGTCATAGATTATGTTTAACTCGAGGCAGATAAACCATTTTTCAAACCGAGAAATACCATAATACCCAGGTAACTGTGGACTCTTTTACGCGACAATCTATTTTCTACCATATGACACAGAAAAGGGGCCCTGATACATTCTCACCATATATTAAATAATTTCAATATACTGCGGCACCTTGCATGCTGCAAGTTTGAGCATCCTCAAATTGATAGTATTACAACGTACTTATTCCTCAGCAGAAACTGTCCCGATTCTTTATTTTTGCCTTTCGCAGCCCTGAGGCTGCTAAAGGCTTTGAGACGGGAATTTGAGTTCATTCCGTCCGTCCTGTCCTGTCCTTCCGCAAGGTTCTATGATACATGTAGCGAGACATTGCTCCATGTAGATTCGAATGTTGATGCCAAGCCCATGCAAGGATATGTGGCATACGAATCGGGTAAAGACGAATGTAGTGCTTAGTTTATGTATTGTTTTACGTTCCTATCAGCAGGCATGACCGGGCATGTAACGCGCCCTGCAAAACGTGTTTGTAGAGGTCTGTTCGACTTGTAGTACTGTACCTGCAAGGTAAAGAAGAAACAATAAAACATCTTTGTGTGTGTGCTTGGTGGATATTAGTCACACTTTGTTCCTCTTACTGAATACAACACGTTAGCCAGGTTCCAACCATAGCGGAACTTGCAGAAACATTTTGCAATTTGATAGTCTTTCCTCCCATTAAGGAATTAGGCCACACGGACACCTCAGCTTCGTGAGCACATCGAAATCGGTGAGGTTTTTCTTCGCGTGATTCTTGTAGAGTTTATCAACACTACAGGCAGCAGAATCTTCAAACTGCTGAAGGCGGCTGCCTCAATGGAAAGAAGGGAAAGAAAAAAGTAATCTTCAAGCTCGTTCATTACAACTTTGTATACACAAACTAAGCGAAAGGCTGCCTTTTTTCAAAAGCATTTCTTGTTACTTTTTTATCAGAGGACAATTTCATGCACGTAACAAAACTTCTTTTTGAATTACGGCTTGCTTTATAGACAACTAACACCATTGTTTTCAGGCATTTCTTGTTGCATATATTATCGTGTTTCCAGCATTGTCTTTGTATTGCACCAGAGCCAAAATTAACATATTAACAGCGCATTCGCCAGATCTTGTTGTTAAACTGCCATTCAACTGCCAGCTATACTCGGTGACAGACCAAAACTTATTTAGACCTCGCTGGACTGTCACATAGCAGAATATTCACCGCCAAGCATCATTCTTTACTTTAGTGTTTCAAACGCCTTGACTGGCCTTGGCCAAACTATCAATGTGTCGCGATATTCGGCGCTTTCACTTGTAAAATGGATAATTAGCAACATAAGAGTGGCACGCGAGAGGGAGTGGAGGGGGTTTTCACACCTTTTGTTCGTTGATTAGTACTGAATGATAGATCACATCATACAATAAGGTAATAGGCCTGTATTGTTTACAATACACATTCGCGCGCTTGCCCCACAAATGATCATGATTAGCCCATTCAATGGAGAAGACCTACAAGTACACTTACCTTTTACATATTCTGTCAACTCACATGATTCCCGGTCTTGTGTAATCACGAATCACATTAATTTCACATTTGTTTCACATGTCAAAAATGTGATTTGATGTCACATCTTTTCACATTTTGCGTTTTCGTGAACATCACATAAATTTCACATTTCGCGGAATGCCAGATGTCTTCACATCTTTTCACATTTTGTAGTCAAACCCATTTCACATAACTTTCACATGAAGACACATTTTTAAAAATAGTGACTCAGGTTAACATTGTTTCACATTTTCACTGAGACTACGTTTCACATAAAAATCACATAGGCATCGGCGGAAAAAGAACATACAGGCAGTCACATAATTTCACATAATGGGAGGAGATCCAACATCACATTTAGATAACATCTTTTCACATTTGAAAATGTGATTTTTCTGGACCGTTCACTGCAAATGTGAAAAAAATGTGACGCAAAATAATAACATTTTTTCACATAAAGGTGTCGCGCTTCAGAAATGTTATTTTATATGATTTTCTGTGAACTTATGTGATAAAATGTGATGCTGTTGAACCTCAAAAAAATTCACATTACATCACATTTTTTCACATTTCCTTGAAATTTTGCACGAAATTCACATAATTTTCACATTTATGCACCTGGTAGTGTGACCTACCCCAACTAATATCTGCGAACAGAATGAATACACACTCGCACACACACACACACACACACACACACACACACACACACACACACGCACACACACACACACACACACACACACACACACACACACACACACACACACATAAACACACACTCGCATACACTCACGCGCGCGCTCATTTGTGTATCTTTCGGCACCCGTTATCAGCCCTACTGCCTGGGTGGCCGCACACTTAAACATCGATGAGTTAGAAAATCACTTTTTTTGACTGCTAGTTTCCTGCATCAGATAACTACAAGGCGCTGCTGTTTATTGATCATATAAACAAACAACAACAACGAAAAGAGCAAAAAGAAATGCAGTACAAAACAAAACTACGGATCTACAAATTGTCAGATGCTGGAACGTACTTATCTCGCAAATGTAGTTCTTGAGGTAACTGCAGTGATGGTCGTTCCACGTGTAGCCAAACTGCGGGCGGATCTCCACACATCTTTCTAGGTCTGGGTTCGGCTGTGAGGGAAACCAGTCGTTGAAGTCACCAGCACCCAGCACGCTGCCGTCACTCCAACGGTATTGAAACTGTAGAAATGTTCAAATATTTGTTATTGTTATTGTATAACACTGACTTGTGTTATGGATGACATCCTCTGGAGACCTTAAAACTAATTCGAGCGTGTGAAATAAAGAAAATCAAGCCGATACATGATGCTAAACCACAGGGGTACATGTACAAAGTTGGTGGTTTTTGTGGAAGTTGCGATAGTACATAGCCACTTTTACGAAAGCCGGCACATGCTGTTTTTTACAGAATCTATGAGTTAGCTCTGTTCTGGAGTAGCGCCTGAGTGTCAGCCTTGTTAGCTTTCGTCCGCTACCCAAGGTCCGCTCCCTTTGCTCTGTATACACTGCTTCAATACGTCAAGAGCACTAGTTCCTATCATGAATAGACTAGACCTAGACTAACAGGAAGTAGCAAAATAACAAGTATCACTCCTGAACTATTCACACATTTGCCATTCTGAAAACACAATTTTGCCTCGAAAAGATAGGTTTACTTTACCTAACTAATAATTACTACTAACGTGGATGGCGTTTGACTCAACCAAAGGGCAGTGCTTAATTGTTAACTCTTGATGGTTCAAGCAAATATGCAAAATAAACATATATACCAAACACTCACATGAACAGTCAGATCATCCAGCCCGATCCACGTCTCTGCGGCGTAGGTGGTTCGGATGCGGTTGTCGATGAACGCGTCCAGTGCAGCGGATTTGATGACCACCAAACGGGCGCCTTCATCTCGGCAGGTCTGGCTGGCCGCCTGGTAGTTTTTACGGTCACCTCCGGCAGAAAACCGCAGGCACGTAGTGGTTCCGTTCACCTCGACGAGTTCGTAGTTTTGCGGGCAGGGGTCTGTAGACAAGATTTTGTGATAAAATCAGAGACAACTCCTTATTTACAGTATCGTTACATGTCTCCTCTAAAGGGATGCACCGTTGATTGGTCAATATGTTCCTATGGCTCTGAGATATCAACTGGTATCAATATCTTGATTGCCTTCAGTAAGGTAAAAGGCAGAGCCCCTGTCACACTTTTACGTTACCGGCCACCAGCCGGCCAGGTTCGGCTGAACTTCGGGAGCAGTCCAACTAGATTCATGGCACGCAAGAGATCATGATGCCACCTTTAGTTAGATATTTCCACGCACATATTGTGTCCAAAATATGCCCTAAAGTGCATTGCATGGTGTCCAATGATACGCAGCTTTGATTAACTTACTAACGCCACAAACATAAGATCCCCGTTATTACCACGATGATAATATAGCAGTTTTACATTGATTATTAAAATGAGGTGTTTTATCTTATAGATGGTCCTGTCTTTTCCAGTTACACATGTAACGTGTTTGAATGTCCTATCATAGGACATAGATTTAAATCACACATTTAAACTACAAGAGAATTAAAACTTAATGTCACATGCATAAAGGAGCATTATCAAATGCAAGGTATGTGTTATGCATGTAGATTCAAGCTATACTGCCATAAACAAGGTAAAGAAATGCCATGTATTTTACCTGGAGCACACTTATCCCTCGCTGCGACGATCTGTTCTTGAGTCATGGCGAAGTTGTACATCTGGATACAGGCTATACGGCCCGCGAACGTCCGATGGTCTCCGTCCCTCACCGCCACCCGGATGGGGTACTGAGTTGCGACCGAAGGGACTCCGACGTGCGTCCGTCCGACCACTTCACCGTTGTTCCAGATGGCTTCTACACCTGTGGAACTGTCGTAGGTTCCGCCCACGTAGTTCCAAGTGTTCTGCTGCAGGACATTTGCAGCAACCTCAGGTGTGATGTATCCATCTCGTCTAACCGCCCTGCAATACACAGTTAGTAAATTCTTATAATTTTTCAGTGGTTAAGGCCATGTTGGTTATATGAATGACATCCTCTGGGAACCCCGAAACTGATGCATCCATGCGAATAAAAATGTTTGTTAAAAAAGTTGCCTTTATCATGAAATCTAGGTGGCCATGAATGTTGAACAAATGACTAAACACACAGAGTAGTATCTTATTTTTATTGGCATGGTGAATAATAGACTATTCATTTTCATTCTTGTCCTTTGGAATGGATTTTGGCTTTCTGCGACATAAGGATCGCTTTCCAATATTTTTTTTTTCAATTTACGGCATCTATTTGCTCATTTTGCAGCTACGTTTTACGATTCACAGTATGGTCGAACACGTTTTTCTTGGAAATTGACGAAAATTCATGCTCGCGTGGATGTCATCCATATAATCAGGTCAACATGGCCTAACCACAAAGAAGGAAAATAAACATGCAGACAGGTCTTTGCCTTTTGATGGCGCAATCTCTACATTTTTATAACATTCTCTCAGACTAGAATTGGTCAATTATGCATGCATATGGCTTTACACTCAACGACACCGTTAAATATAAACTTACCTCATAAACAGTTGTGGGGAATCCGTCTGCCAAAGATGCACACCCCACCCAGTGTTCGGGGTGAAGTCGATGATCGGTCCAGCCCGGCCTGTAGGATATATGTGCGCCAGTATGGTGTAGGAGTACTGCACATCCAGCCTGCCGTTGTTGGGAATGTCGAGGTAGGAATTCGAATTCCCGGAAAACAGGAAAGCGCCGTCAGGGTCTCCGTTTGGACCCGGTGCTAAACTGACTCCTGTTGCTACCCCGTCATTTCCATTTCCTGTTACGTCTGACGCTCCGTATTGTGAATTTAATGGCCACAAACCGACTGGGAAGTCTGCAGAGAATGTATGAGTATGGAGTTCAAACTAGAGTCCCACGATCTCATACCTTCGCCAAATGATGCTAATCTTAATGACTGACAAATAATAGATTATTCCTCCCGATTATGCAAACAGGATCACCATTTGCCTTAATTTTATCAGTTGATCATATTCTCCACCCAAAGGCAGCCTTATCTTAGCAAACAATACCATTCTAGCATTTCCTCATAAATTATGCAAATGAGGTCCTTATTTGAATAAGTTATGTTTAATGATCAGCATGAAAGTTCATCTGAGTTGGTAAATTACATTATGAAAAACTCAAAATTTGACTCACCAGAACTTTTCGACCGAATCACTCAGTCTTCCTCAGCTATCTGACCCAAATGCTGTGGACACGTGATTTTTCCCACGTGTGACGTCAGCAAAGGGTCGAAGGTTGTCTGAAGTCGATACCGCCCCCCGTCCCGGTTGAGCGATGGTTGAAGTGCCCTGATGTATATGGCCTCTTTTATGCCTCTCTTGAAGTAATCCTGTTCGGTATCAAAGATTCTGACCCCCTCCAAATCCACTGAGTGTCCAGGTGATTCTATGTCGATGTGCTGTGACACCTCAGATGCAACAGAACTGGGTCGTCTATGTTCTAGAAACCTGGTTTTTAGTGAGCGCTCAGTTTCCCCGATATAAGTTTCCCGACAGGGGCCTCTGTTAGTGTTTCCCTGGCAACTTATGTGGTAGATAACCCAAAGAAGAAGACGGTGCACTGCCCTTCCTAGACACTTTAACAACAATCAACCAGGATAGGTCCCTGCGGGTTAACATATACCGTAAGGCGACACACACGGACCAATATCTAAATTTTTTCTCAAACCACCCTTTGGACCACAAGTTGGGTGTGATCAAGACCCTTTTACATAGAGCTAATACCATCATCAGTGATCCTGCGGATAGAAGTAGCGAGATTGAGCACGTTACAGAAGCCCTAAAGAAGTGTGGCTACCCTCAGTGGCTCATTAGGAAAGCCTCCGAGCCCAGACAGCCCCGGTCTAAACCCCAAGATAGTCAGGGAACGGGAGGGAAAAACAGAAAAACACTTGTAGTCCTCCCATACGTAAAGGGTGTTTCTGAGCCTCTACGTAGAATCTTTGCTGCACACGGAGTGAGTACCTGTTTCAGACCTCATCGTACGTTAGGACAACTCCTGGTGGCACCTAAGGACAAAACTCCCAAGGAAGACAAATGTGGGGTTATCTACCACATAAGTTGCCAGGGAAACACTAACAGAGGCCCCTGTCGGGGAACTTATATCGGGGAAACTGAGCACTCACTAAAACCAGGCGCTAGGTTTCTAGAACATAGACGACCCAGTTCTGTTGCATCTGAGGTGTCACAGCACATCCACATAGAATCACCGGGACACACAGTGGATTTGGAGGGGGTCAGAATCTTGGATACCGAACAGGATTACTTCAAGAGAGGCATAAAAGAGGCCATATACATCAGGGCACTTCAACCATCGCTCAACCGGGACGGGGGGCGGTATCGACTTCAGACAACCTTTGACCCTTTGCTGACGTAACACGTGGGAAAAATCACGTGTCCACAGCATTTGGGTCAGATAGCTGAGGAAGACTGAGTGATTCGGTCGAAAATTTTTTGAGAGTCAAATTTTGAGTTGGAAAAAAGTTTAAGTTTTTCATTATGTTTAATGATGTTCACCTTCAAATGTATACCCCAAGTATGAAATTCCAGGCAGTTACTAGCCTGGTATCCAGTCTTACGTGATTGGGGGTATTGGGGTGTTCGGGCAGGTTGTGCCTTCGGGGGCTCTAATAGCTTCCCCCGCCCAGTGCAACAGGCCGTCCCGGTAGAAATGTGTGGTCTGTCAGGTCAACATAACTATTATAAAAGAATGTTGAAGAAAACCTTACCTTGACCAGTCACACCAGTGCTCATCATGGCGAGGAGGAGCAGCCCCATGGGTAACGACACACGCGGGTCCATCCTGTCTCCAGATTTCCAGCAGTTCACCTGGGATAAAGGTAGCAAAAAGGGGAAAATGATAACCTGAAACATTAGACGTCATTCGTTTCACAATTTAACGATATTTGCAATGGGAGCAACAGATGACGAAGACAATAATTATTTTGTGTGTAAAAAGATTGAAACTAATTACATGACATGTGTGTATCTAAAGCTAATGAAATCTAAGGTAAAAACGTTTCTGGTAAACATGTCATAAAAAAGCCGTCAAAAACCAAATGTTTAACTATTGAAAACTCAAATTAACAGGACCTCCAAATTATCATTGTAGCCAATTTTTCTTCCATTTTTGAATCGACAAAAACCCATCGTATGATGGTAGGAATGACCTATGACTCCCTGTTCACAGCCAAATACAACAACACAGCATCACAGCTAGAACTCTACCCAGCATCAAAATCAAGCCAAAGAAAGAAAATCTCCCGGTTCCAAATGCCATCAATCATCAAGATATGCCAAGAAAAAGGCTCTTAAAAGTTTGTTTGGTTACTCAAATGGGCTCCTCGGCCTGCGCGAAAATACTGACCTAAAAGTTGCGCATCGCTATTTTTGTCCAATATCCGCGGAGTCGTAACCATAAACCCATGATTAAGTTATACATGTAGTAGATGTACATCCCTACTGAATAAAACCGGGGCTTCACTCGTGTTGTTGACCCCAAATGTCAACGACCTGACAGACCACACATTCTGCAGATAATTAAAGGTCCCGGGGTTAACATTAATAACAGGTCTGTTGACAGGTTTTTTGTTCAATCCCATGGGAACTTGCCGGCTAACACGTCCCCTCTGGGAACTTGCTGGCCAGCGGTTCCCATGTAATAGTTGTTGATAGAAACGTCAGAATGGAACATTTACACATAGAAATTAAACTTTCAATGGCTATTGAATCACGTTTTTAAGGATTTTTTTTATTCCAACATGTAATCGCCAGACGTGGTGACGACCCACTGATTTTTTTATTAATGGCGCCACCAACACAGGGAATAAATACATGACGGGACAATACATTTTCACCTGAGCGAAGTGAGGAAAGTCGTGTAAAGTGCCTTTCCCAAGGGCACAAGATCGGTGGCATGTCAGGACTCGAACCCGGGGCCTCTCGGTTCCGAGTCGCGCAGAGCAACTTTTTTGGTATGTGACATCTCAATGCTCAATTGACATACAAAGCCCACATTCCACTAGGACGGCGCTCTCACTGCGAGCTCTCTCTCTGCGGCTTGGCCGGGGCGGGGAGAGAGCGCCGTAAGATCGCCAAGGGAGCGCACAGGGAGCGCCATGAGCGCCGCCACCTCGGCAACTGTTTTGAGCCGGTGTCACAGCGATCTCGCCCCCCAGTGATTTCGCCCTCCCCGGGTCGAGATCTCTAGCGATTTCGCCCTCCCCGCTAGTCATTTGGTCCCCCCACCTCGACCCATCGGTGATTTCGCCCCATCGCGGAAAAAGGTTGCGGGAGAGATTCCACTTCGTCAATTTCAGGTCCAAGAGAGAGCAAGGCAAGAGCGCCGTCAAGTGGAATGGGAGTATTAGTATATATGATATTAATTAAAACAAATTTGTCACTCTGAGTTTACCATATGAACGGTAAGCACAACAAAGCTTTACTCTCAGGATTTAGCACAATGCCGGGACATAATAAGCGGTTTAAGGATTCTTTTAAAGATGTACTTCGGTCAAAAGTGGGCAGAGGACAAGTAGGCTTTAACGCGCCTGTTTTCAATTGAATTGTTTGTAGCCCCAGGCCAATTGAAAACTGCGAAGTGACTGTTTGGTTTTCTGCCAGAATAAAGAGTTGATTAGAGAGAAACAATCGAGCTAACGCTGAGGTCACATTTCCAATCGCCCAGCCGATATAAAGACAACAAAAAGTTTAAAAGATAATCAAGAGCTCTATTTATATTTGTGTATATTCTTGAGAAGAATTGTTGATTTTTTATATGGCTCTTTTGGAGGTCGGGGTACATTTCGTGGGTGTTTAATGCCTGTGATTAAAGTATGGGAACTCTCTCTGTTAACAACAACAACAATCGAAATATCCACCCAAATATAATCTGCAAGTTCACTTTCAGTCAGTGTGAAATCTCAAATGTCGGCGGGGGTCGGGCAAACGCGAATGAACAACGAAAAAAACTAACATCTCTATCATTCTGCTAAACGTACTTACAATGTTATGGAAGATGTAGAAAAGGGGCTTTGTCAGGCATTTTAAGGTTTTGAACAAATGTACACCCAGTTAAACACGCCACCGTCGCCAACTAGTATATACTACTACGAATGCACGGTTTTTGTTGAACTTAGAAAAACACATAAAATATAACTATCACTTAGATACCTGTTTCGTCTTATCTTTGAAGTTGGGAAACGTTAAACAGTGTAGACCATGAACGTATAACATTACGTAGAAAACATAATGTTTTACCATGCGCTTTGGTTGGGCGCAAATCATGCCGTCGAGTTGTTGCCCTGTTTCCCGAACCACGCTAGCTTTTTCAAGTTAAGCTTCACGGCAAAAGTAACAAACATGACCTATTTGATACTTTCTACAATGAACGTCTGTAAATATCAAGTCTTAAACCTGGACAGAGAGACTTTGTGCGTGACATTGACAAGAAACTTCAACGCTCTAAAAGAGCCAAACGTGTAGACTATGGAGTTAGAAAAACACTTGAGTGTCAAAAGAAAGCCTAACACAGACCAGGTTGGGCAAGAGCCCTCGAGACACGGTAAGAATTTCTGATCATTCACCTAAAATAAATGCGAATCAGATCTAGACAAAGTTATCGTTTTTTTTAACTTTAATACATAGAAAAGACACCCAAAGTTGTGATATGCCATCAACCTAGCATACTATTTCATGATACAGCAGGTGCAATAAAGTAGAAAAACGGACAAATACAGGTACTTACTGGTTCAATGTTGTTGGTAAAGCAAAGTTGGTTTATGCCAGCTCCCTGTGCAGTTTCCAACTTTATATTGCTAGTGTATATATACCATGCTATTATTAGATTACCGAAAACGTCATTCAAATGAACAATCGTGATTGGTCAAATGTGATGGTGTGACACCGTATAAAAAGAAGATGCTCGAAAACTCCCAAAGAGCGGAGAATCACGTGATGTACCACTTTCCCACGCTGACTATTTCCGGCAAGACAAGGACATTTTTTATGGGTAAAACGTCGCTGGGCCGACACACGAATCCCACGACTGTTTGAACCAGGTCCATTGTTCTGCAGGGTATTTCTATAGTTCACACGACCTTTTCTGCCCTCTCCCACCGCGCAAGGTGCACTGAAGTGAAACACAATTAAATCATAGTGTTGCACATGACAAGTTACTGACCTTGGCAAGAAGTGCATGGTATCAAAAACATGAAAATTATTATATGGCAAATAATAATTATATAAAGTATTAGTTAGAGTTGCTCGCGCTCTCATGGCGCTCTCATCGCGACCCTGGCGCTATCTCCGCGCTCTGCCCAATTTGAGGTCGCGGAGAGATCGCCGTGAGAGCGCCGTCTAAGTGGAAAGGGGGCATATCAGTTACTGTTAATGACTGTGTTTCCCACGGCAGGCCACACACAGACAATCGACCCGTGTTTGTCAACATGCAGGATTGAATTTAGTAATTGTATGAATGAATGAATATGAACACGCTTGATAATAGTCTTTGGCGCGGTCACATACCTTCTACAACCACAAGTGATTTTGATGTACAGAACCAGGGCTGTACAGAACTAAGCCCGACAAGAACCATATTCCTTTCCACTTTAAGCCTGTTGGGTTTTGTCCGACGCATGCATGGTTAACCCAGCCCTCAATTTGCGATCAGCTCCCCTACGACCATCGTGCGACAAAGGAAAAAAAGGGCCTTTAGTATGACACACGTGTTATTATAGTTTTGTCATGTGTAACCTCCAGACAACTGCATTAAGGGCCACGGAAGTTTCAACTTGCATACAACACAAGGGGCATTAGGAGATGGGTTCTACATCAGCAGAATCTTGATCAAACTTATAAATTCTCTTTATTTTCAACACAGCAAGGAAATTGGACTTATCCCTGTTAATTATGTAGCAACTATATGAACGGTGTAGTCAAAAAGTCGAAAAATACATATTCAAGTTGCCGGTTTTGCTGTGAATTTGTCTTCAGCCGCGATCGGCAAGTCATAACGATTGACGGATGGATGTCTTCATCCACCGCTATGCATGATGGTCTCGTTAGCAGTTCAATGCAGTTCAGCCAAGCAGCCAAATATTTCTTAAGCATTGCAACTCTAGTACTTGCAGATGCCATTATATATGTGCCACTGGTGTTTTCAAAGATGAGATCGATGCACTTTTTGCAGTTTTTAAGGTAAGAGAGGCACGAACGTCTGAGGCTATGGATAATAATAAAAAAAGAAGCAATTTTCTTCTTCGTAAACTCCGAAGAGAACTAAGTTTCCTGTCTATTCACAAACTCGAACAGACACATGGGTAGGGTAGTCGTGCGCACGCCACGACGAACGTGTGAGGCTATGGATAATAATTAAAAAAAAAAACACTTATCATGCAGTTGGCTGAATGCAACTAACTGTCCCATTGTAGATGTCCGTATGTGCCGCTGACAGTTTTTAAAAGATGTCGATATCCTGATGATGCAACATTTGGCTAGGAATAACAAAGACGTGATGTTGCGGATGGTGTAGAAATTTACCCGTATAACCTCCTGGCTGAGACCTCACATTCTAAGTGCGACGGAATATCGGTATGAAGCAATGGTATTTTTGACGATAGCCACTATACACTAGAAACTAGTCTGGTCTGTACAAGTTTAGTTCAGTTCATGGTGACACCAATGTCTCCACAAGTTACTGTCACGCATAATTGAGGACAGTTCATCAGCACCCTCCAGACCTATACCCTCCTTGATCACCTTCTTCAAAGTTAAAGAAGGGCGAACGCGTCTTCGCTTTTCCTTTGGTGACCAAAGGAGGACCAACCCTGCCATCTTGTCGTGTCGCATAACCTGACCGGCCAGTGCCAACCTACGGGACAAGTACAGGTACAAGTACCCATTGCAATATGGAGGGACCCATTGTCGGCATCTCAGAAAAATAGCACAGCTTGGTACAAAAAAATATATTAAAAGGCAGTTTTCCGTTTCACCTCAACTCAAACATGCCGCCGACTCCATGCGTTTGCCTGCACTCTCTTGACAATTTTAAGTCTTTACCTATATCTAGCGACCTCTTCCATGGTATGTATATGTAAAGTAGTGGTTGAGACCATATATGTAGTTGGTTGATGAATCATCACATGGCACAGCAATATCAATACTCGTATCAAATCACTTCATATTAGTTACAATAACAATTCTAAATTGACTTAATATTAGTCGTACTAAATGCAAGCAAAGGAGAGTCAGACCCAGTTGCCACAACGCTAACTGTTCCGAGCTGCAGGGCTGTCTAATATATGTTGGAAGAATTTGAAAATACAAAGTCTACTTTGTCAAGGTTATGTTAGAGGTGATTAGGAGGACACTGTTCATTCAGGAATATCTAACATGACATGATATCCCGGGGCTGCAGAGGTCATTATAGCCAGTAGGACCGTAATGACTGTGTGCTGCTAACTGGCTACAATTTCCCACGGCGACTTTGTCCTCCTCGGGTCGAGATCTCTAGCGATATCGCCCTCCCCACTAGTGATTTGGTCCCTCCACCTCGCCCCCATCCGTGATTTCGCCCCGTCGCGAAAAAAGGTTGCGGGAGAGATTCTACTTTTGCCAATTTCAGGTCCAAGAGAGAGCAAAACAAGAGCGCCGTCAAGTGGAATGGGAGTACTAGAAGTATATATGATATTAATTAAAACAAATTTGTCACTCTGAGTTTACCATATGAACGGTAAGCACAACAAAGCTTTACTCTCAGGATTTAGCACAATTTAGATGGGACATAGTAAGCGGTGTAAGGATTTTTTTTAGATGTATGTTACAGGTTCCTCTTAAATCTCCAAGAACAGTTGGACACACACCAAAGTCAAGGTTCCACAGCCTTTATTTTCCACACCCTTGCACCAGGGCTCCCTTCTCAGAATGCTTAACTATGCTCCCCTGGAGCATTCCATTAGGGATATTCCATTCCGGGCTTAACCGTTACTTATCAGGGGAGGGTATAGACCTACACATGTACTGGCAATTTTCTCTAGCATGTAACACCTCCCCCAAGATGATAAACATGTGTAATATAGTTTCATCATCTGACAACATGCTAACTACTACTACTACTAACAGGGGAATCAGCTACCTTAAAAAACTACTCTGTTACAATACACTTCTACTCCGGTACTTCACCTGGTCAGCCATGGCATGCTCTGAAACTTATTTCACACCATACTCCTGCTTGGTGCGCTTTCCTGCTGCCTTCCTTAGTCGGTTCTGCCTCTGCAACCAACGCAGCCGACCCCTCCGGTAAACCGGATCCTCCTCCATGAGCTTCTGTATTCTTTGTTTTACTGTGTTACTCTCGCTCCTCACTTCTGCTTTCGGAGGATACGCTACTTGGCCACCTTGCTGGCGTCTCGCTGGAATCTGATATCGTGGCACCGCTGACTCCATCTTCTCACCACGCCCAAGGTGCCTCTTGTCCTCCCCCAACTCACTCTTGATCTCCCGAGTGGTCACCGGACCTGCCCTACTTCCGACGCAGGCCGCCCCGTAGTCGTTGCCTAGCAACACCGGGTAGGGCGTGTTCATCACCCCTACTTCTACCTCTCTCGCGTTACCATCCACTTCCAGCTCAACTCTGGCTGTAGGCACGCTGTCAACAGCCCCATTGGCCAGTCTGACTTTAATGGCATCTTCAGTGTATGCCTTCTTCGGCACTAACGTCTTGTTGACAAAGGTCCTGGAGCTCCCAGTGTCCCTGTACACCTGTACTTGCTGGCCGTTCACAGCTCCGCTGCTGCGGTACTTGCTATCTTCCGCCAAGTTTCCATCCGCGTCCCAGGGCTTGTCTGCTCCCTGCGCGAACATACTCTGTGCCACCACATTCTTCTTGGAGAACCTTTTCCCCAAACTAGGGCAATCAGCTTTCACATGCCCTGTTTCACGACAGTGGTAACAGGTCTTACGGAAGCCTCCCCCAGGCTCCCCGGAGCCACCTTGACCGCTCTTCCGTCCAGGCTCACCCTCAGATCTTGATGTGTTGCGTGGACGGACACCTTCAGCCAGGCTCGTCTCGTGAGCCGTCAGATACTGGTCGCTCATCTTCCCTAACTCCTCTAGGGATTTTGGCTTTCTCTCCCGGAGGTGTATCGCCAAATCCGTCGGGCACAGATCTAGGAATTGTTCCTGGATGATCAGGTCACAAACTCCCTCGAACGTTTTTGAAGTTCCTGACAGCTCGATCCACCTGTTGAGGTAGCTGGATAAACGCACGATATACTGATCAGGCCCTTCCCCTTCCTGAGGAATTTCCGACCTGAACTTCTTGCGGAACCCATCTTCGGTAAGCTCGTACCTCTTTAGAATGGCTTCCTTTACCTTGTCATAATCTTGCGCCTCAGCGTCAGACAGCCTGCTGTATACGTCTAGTGCTTTCCCTGTTAGTAGGGCACTCAGTAGAGACGCCCACGTGTCTTCCGCCCAGTGGTTGGCACGGGCAAACCTCTCAAACCTCAAGAGGTACCCATCTATTTCTTCACCTTCCATGAAGCTGGGTAGTCTCGGCGTCTTAGCCTTGACGTCTCCTGTACCTTCTTTCTTGGCCTTATGGTACTCGATTTCCGCCTGCCGTACCTTCAGCTCTTCCATCTCCAGCTCATGTCTTCGTTGAGCCTCTTTCTCCTTAGCCTCATTTTCCCTCTGAGCCTCTCTTTCCTTGGCCCGTTCATCTCTTTCTATAGCCTGCTGGGCCATCACAAACTTCAGGAGGTTTTCCCCCTCCAAGCCCATCTCCTTGCCTTGTTCGATTAGCTTATCCATGGCTGACACAGGTACACCACCCCCTAGCCACAGTCAATGAACGGTCCCTGCAATCAATGCACTATCCCTGATAAAAGTCTCTGTCCCTGATAAAAGTGGGACCAGATGTGATCGGTGAAACCCTACTCTAGAGTGCAATACTGGACTAGCCCTAGCGGTAGCTATCTGTCAACAACTCCTGACCCCATCCATCAAAAGCACATTCCTAAGCAGAGTAACCTCACAAAACTACACAAGACTTCTAGAAAATACACATCTAGGAGATACAGACTTCTACTAAGTTCTAGAAACTCGCAACAGGTCAACAGAACAACGAAAATACACCAACTGTTACCAGCTGCTTCAGTCTGCCCTCCCTCTGCCACTGTCCTCAATCATATGATAGTTCCTACAGTTCAGTACATGAATCCTTTAAGACAGTCCCGCCGCTCACTCCTCCTCGAGTCGTCAATCTCCGGAAAGCGTCCATACAACACTGCTGGGCTCCACAGCGTCCCGTCTTCTCCTGGAATTCCCTCCTGGACTCTCCTCTTGCTTCCACCGCTTCCACTGACCGCCCCCGTGAAGCACCAATCCGCGATCTTTGCCGTTGTATCCACACAAAGTCCGCTGGTCTCCGCTGGTCACAGCCTTCTTCTCTGGCTCCCACGTGCCCTGCTTCTGTAGACGTTTGATCTCCAGTCCAGCCTCAGCCTCCAACCTTGCGAGATCACCACAAGGTCCACTGATTTCTGCTGGTGATACAATCTTCTCCTCAGGCTCCCACGTGCACTGATTCTGTCCGGGTCCTGTGGACGTCTGGTCTCCAACCTCAGCTTCCAACTTTGCACGATTAGCACAAAGTCCACTGATTTCTGCTACAACCTCCTCTGGCGCTTCCTGACCAACTGTCCTGCCGACAACGCCAATGTTACAGGTTCCTCTTAAATCTCCAAGAACAGTTGGACACACACCAAAGTCAAGGTTCCACAGCCTTTATTTTCCACACCCTTGCACCAGGGCTCCCTTCTCAGAATGCTTAACTATGCTCCCCTGGAGCATTCCATTAGGGATATTCCATTCCGGGCTTAACCGTTACTTATCAGGGGAGGGTATAGACCTACACATGTACTGGCAATTTTCTCTAGCATGTAACAATGTACTTCGGTTAAAAGTGTGCAGAGGACAAGTAGGCTGTAACGCGCCTGTTTTCAATTGAATTGTTTGTAGCCCCAGGCCAGTTAAAAACCGCAGATGGACTGTTTGGTTTTCTGCCTGAATAAAGAGTTGATTAGAGAGAAACAATCGAGCTAACGCTGATTTCACATGTCCAATCGCCCAGCCGATATAAAGACAACAAAACACAAAAAAAGATAATCAAGAGCTCTATTTATATTTCTGTATATTCTTGAGAAGAATTGATGATTTGTCTATGGCTCTATTGGAGGTCGGAGTACATTTCGTGGGTGTTTAAAGCCTATGATTAAATTATAGGAACTTTCTCTTAACAAAAAACAATACAAAACATCGAAGTATCCACCTAGATATAATCTGCAAGTTCACTTTTAGTCAGTGTGAACTCTCAAATGTCGCCGGGGCCGGGCAAAAGCAAATGGAACATCTTTATTATGCTGCTATACGTACTCAATGTTATGAAAGATGTAAAAAAAAGGGCTTTGTCAGAAATTTCAAGGTTTCGAACAAATAGACACTGTAATCCACCCAGTTAAACACGCCAAGTTAGACAGTATAGACCATGAACGTATACGTCTAAAACCATTTTACCATACGCTTTGGTTGGGCGCAAATTATATCCTCGATTTGTTTCCCAAACCACGCTTTTTCAAGTTAAGCTTCACGGTAAAAGTAACAAACATGACCTATTTGATACTTTCTACAATGAGCTTTTTATATTTATATATATATTTATCTATTTATATTTGTGTATATTCTTGAGAAGAATTGTTGATTTTTTATATGGCTCTATTGGAGGTCGTGGGTGTTTAAAGCCTATGATTAAATTATAGGAACTCTCTCTGTTAACAAAAAGAAAATCGAAGTACGAGTGTCTACCCAAATATAATCTGCAAGTTCACTTTAAGTCAGTGTGAAATCTCAAATGTCGGCGGGGGTCGGGCAAAAGCAAATGAGCAGCGAAAAAAGCTAAAATCTCTATAATGCTGCTAAACGTACTTACAATGTTATGAAATATGTAGAAAAAGGGCTTTGTCAGAAATTTCAAGGTTTCGAACAAATGGACACTGCTATCCACCCAGTTAAACACGCCAAGTTAGACAGTATAGACCATGAACGTATACGTCTAAAACCATTTTACCATGCGCTTTGGTTGGGCGCAAATTATATCCTCGATTTGTTTCCCAAACCACGCTTTTTCAAGTTAAGCTTCACGGTAAAAGTAACAAACATGACCTATTTGATACTTTCTACAATGAACGTCTGTGAATATTAAGTCTTTAACCTGGACAGAGAGATTTTGTGCGTGACATTGACAAGAAACTTCAACGTCTCTAAAAGAGCCAAGCGTCTAGAATATGGAGTTAGAAAAACACTTGAGTGTCCTTAACCACAAAAGAAAGCCTAACACAGACGAGGCTGGGTAAGAGCCCTCGAGACACGATAAGAATATCTGATCATTCACCTAAAAAGGTGCGAATCAGACAAAGTTATTGTTTTTTTTTTAACTTTAATACATAGAAACGACCCCCAAAGTTGGGATATTTCATCAACCTAGCATACTGGACAAACGGAAAAACGGACAAAGACAGGTACTTACTGGTTCAATGTTGTTGGTGAAGCGAAGTTGGTTTATGCCAGCTCGCTCTTCACTCTTTAACTTTATAGTGCTCGTGTTACACCATACTATTATTAGATTGGCGAAAACGTCATTCTAATGAACAATCGTGATTGGTCAAATGTGATGGTGTGACACCGCATGAAAAGAAGATGCTCGAAAACAAATGTCTGGAGAATCACGTATGTACCAAGTTCCCACGCTGACTATTTCCGGCAAACCAAGGAATTTTTTTTTAATTGATAAAACGTCATTGGGCCAACACACGAATCCCAGGACTGTTTGAACAAGGTCCATTGTTCTGCAGAGTACTTTTATAGTTCACACGACCTTTTCTGCCCTCTCCCACCGTGCAAGGTGTACTGAAGTGAAACACAACTAAATCATAGTGTTACCCATGGCAAGTCACTGACCTTGGAAAAAAATGCATGATATCAAAAACATGAAAATTATTATATATGACAAGTAATAATTATATAAAGTATTAGTTAGAGTTGTTCGCGCTCTCATTGCGCTCTAATCGGGCTCCAATGGCAACCTTGGCGCTCTCTCCGCGCTCTGCCCAATTTGAGGTCGCGGAAAGAGCACCATGACAGCGCCGTCTATCTAAGTGGAATGGGGGTATATCAGTTACGGTTGATAACTGCGCGCGCTGCTAACCTGCTACAATTTCCCACGGCAGGCCACCCACAGACAATCGTCTCGTGTTTCTCAACATGCAGGAATTAATTAGTAATTGAATGAATGAATGAATGAATGAATGAATGAATGAATGAATGAATGAATGAATGAATGAATGAATGAATGAATGAATGAATGAATGAATGAATGAATGAATGAATGAATGAATGAATGAATGAATGAATGAATGATTATACTTGAGAAAAGTCTTGAGCGTCTGCCAGTTTGCGGCGCGGTCACATTTCTCCTACAACCTCAGGCGATTTTGATGTCGTTTTAGAGCCTTATGTCAGAACCAAGTGCCAATAAGGACCTGGAATATGCATTTCCGTTTCAAGGCCGTTAGATTTTGTTCTACACATGCACGACTTTCCCAAGGATAGTGATTAGCCTCCTGTGCAGGCTCCGGGGCCGGTGGCTATTAAAAGAACGCGTTAAATACTCTTAAAAACGCGGTATGAAAACTACCACCCACCCCGCAGCCTGCACAGGAGGCTAGATCCAGCACGGCACGACTTTCGTGCAATAAATAAGAAAGGGCCTATAGTACAAAACCTGTCATAGTTACGTTTACCAAAGGAAAACATATTGTTTTTGCCTAGTTTCTTCCTCTTCTCATTGTCCAAACAAATAAGATCAATAACAAGGACCAGATGTCTGTCACCATAGTAACTGGTGTTGGGTTACATTATGTTGCATGTGCCATGCAGAACTGAGTTCAAGCATAATCACCATATATATGAGTGTACATACTAAATAAACAAAGCAGTTTGTTGAGCTGGGCCATGGGATGGTAAACATGATGAATTTGCTTTGCTTTGCAATGTTATATTTCTACTTTTATCATGTTTTCCCCCTTGACAATTGCATTAAGGAACCATAGATTTCCTCATAGATTTTGTAAATTACATCGATATTTGCATAATTGTCACATAATTATGTCAAGCATCACGTAAGCTATATACATACCAAAATTCATGACAATCCGTCCACGGGTACTTGAATAATCCTCTTTTGAATATTTTAAAACAAACGCCCCTGCAGTTCCAGAGCAAGCCGCTAGGGGACCCAAACTCACGTCCTTTCTTTCCCAACACGAGCTACCTACCATCCAAATTTCGTGACCCTAACATGTCTAAGTAATGAGATATCGAATCCGGACGTTCAGCTGCAGTATCGTAACAAGATGCGAGGGGGCCCAAAATCTAATCATTTTGAGGTCTCACTAAGACCTACCCAACTACCAAGTATCTTGACAATCCATATAAGCCTTCTCAAGTTATCGTGTCTACAGACGGACACACACACTCACACACACACATACACAAACACACACACACACACACACACGGGATCTATATATCGATTATAAAGAAAGACAAAGATAAACTGAAAATCACCTGGAAACGTACTTGCTTGCAGACGACCACCCTATAATTATAAAGTCCCCCCCCCCACACACACACACTCAAAGATGGCAATCCAAAATGGCCGTATGTATAAAATGTGTATGTTTGGTATAAGGTATTCCTCTGAAGGCAGATGAACAGCTACAATTTATCCGGCGTTCGATGTTGTGTAACTTGTTTACATATCTATTAGTCATTTGCCATTTCATCTTAAATTAAGACTAGCAATTCTAAAAAGCACATCCTTCCATGGTGAGTGTATTCTATGAAACTATCAACCTCACCTGGCATTATTGTTCTCAGATCTCTTGACGCAAGTGGCCTTGTCGAGGTCACCAGGCGTGTTCCAAAGGATAGGTAATCCTTACTTCATCCATAGTCCATAGTGACCATATATGGTAATCCTTACTTCATCCATAGTCCATAGTGACCATATATGGTAATCCTTACTTCATCCGTAGTCCATAGTGACCATATATGGTAATCCTTACTTCATCCATAGTCCATAGTGACCATATATGGTAATCCTTACTTCATCCATAGTCCATAGTGACCATATATGGTAATCCTTACTTCATCCATAGTCCATAGTGACCATATATGGTAATCATTACTTCATCCATAGTCCATAGTGACCATATATGGTAATCCTTACTTCATCCATAGTCCATAGTGACCATATATGGTAATCCTTACTTCATCCATAGTCCATAGTGACCATATATTGATTGTCGCATTGAGAATTTCGTATGGTGGAAGGTTTTAAACTATCCATAGTTGGCATACGGGCTGCAATGACGGGCGATCTTATGGGGATATGCCGGCAAACAAACTTGTGTGGAAACCTTGTCAAACCGGTTTGACGCCAGGTGAGTCGTACACCATGTACACTGATGCCGTCTTGCGGTCCTTTGTGTTAACGCAAGTAATGATGCAGCATTAGGCATAACGTTATTAGGGTCACCACTCTGTCAAGGTGTATGTCTTCCGTGTGTGTTTTTGTGCGCACGTGTGTGGTTTAGCACGATAAGGGACTGTACGACAGTTTACGGGGGGGGGGGGGGCGCTGGTGCATTGGGGGGAGGGCCATTGAAAAAAATTGGCCTGGGGGGAGGCCATGAAAAAAGATATCTTATATAAACCGAGGGGAGGGCCATCGAAAAAAAAATCGGCCTGGGGGCCAGGGAGGGCCACCGAAAAAGTTTTCTAAAATATGGCGTCGCGTGGTATGGAATTGCAATAAGTACGCCGTAATTTTCCGAATATAGTACGCACTTTAAACTTTTCAAAATCCCAAAAGTGTCTCGGGCCGTCGCCAAAGTCAGGATGCGTACTTTATTAGAGTTTTCTCCCGACAAATACGTGGACGACCCAGGAATATAGCGGAACACCGGCACGGGGAGCTTGGAACGACATCGATCGTCCACAGCATGTTTAGGTAAGAATGTTGACGAGTGGAAATAAAGTTAAACTTCAACAAGTTGTCAAGTCATGCACTCCGTTTACTTGGAGTATCGCAAAATTAGCTGTTTCGTGTGTAAAGATGTGCACCTTTTAATTAAAATTCCTTCTGAAGATACACACATGAAATAAACATTTGTTCAAGGTCGATTCCGAATCATCACAGGTCAATTATCACAGGTCAGTTGCAACGCCGACACGACAGCAACTGTAAGGGGCGTGTTTTTTGCCGTTGGGCATCGGGGTGACAAAACTATATATAAACGCCAGCTCACAGACAGTACAGTCTCGCCTCAGGACGTGCACAAGAGTTGTCTGCACGGCGTAGATAGAACGTTTCGAAGGAGTTTGAAGGTTCAACTTCAGCTACTACAACCAAACCAGTTCAACTCAAGGTAGTAACAGCTCTCGTTTCTTTGGAGTTTCTAAGTAACAACCTGTCCTGTGCTTGAGGGCGGCCATGGGAGTTGACGCCCGTAAAGATTTCTACCCAAACTTTACTACCCCTGAGTTTCCCAAACGACGACAAGTTGACATATGAGCTGTGGAGTTATATGTAGATTGAAAGTCTACCAGGGCACTTTTTTTTCTAAACAATCCCCAAGATAAGACTTGTGGTCTCCTGTGGTCTGTGCCCTGGTGGGTGTGACAGCTTTTGATTGATGACTATTCGCGACGCTGTTCCTTTTTTGCAAATGAATTGAGTGCAGTTTTAAAGGCTAGTGTGATCCTTTAAGACCCTGTCCTGCACCTTCCATGTCATGCAGTATAACGTGCAAGGTATTTGTCGATTTATGCATGTTCAATAGAGCTATAAACCGAGCTGATATTTGCGTCCATTTTACACCGTTAAGCAGAGCCACTTTGTAGCGATTATTAGCATAAACGATAAGACCTTGGGCACGCAGGCCTACGCGCACAGAGCACTTGGAACTCCCACCCTACAGACACTTAAAGGGAGACTAACCTCTCACTTTCTGTGTAGTAAGATATGTAGATCGGATATATAGCCGAGTATTAGAACTAGAGTATTATGT